ACCGTGCCTTAGATCGATGCTCACCGTAGAAAGTTCAGCGTGGATTCATGCATGATGTGTACGTTTCTAGAGTGAAAACGATTTCAGAGGTAACTTCAAATCCCTACCATTAAATTTAATTTTCAGTGCATTTCCTTTAGTGCTTATCGCTATTTTGTTTTATAAATGCCGGAGACTGAGGGCTGATATGTCTCTTATAGACCTCTTTAGCTTGTGTGTTTTGTTTTCCCAAGACGCCAGGGGAATTTGCCCCTTTGTCTTGTAATACATACATATGCATATGAATAAGACAAGCTTAGGAGGTCTATTTCTAGTCATGTTTAATTCACGCCATCTTAAAATTAGTGGCTGATTTTAATTTCCCCCTTTATCTTGGGCCATACTCTTTTTTTTCTCCATTTCGACCCAAATTTTTGGCATTTCAATAAAAAAAAAAAAGGAACGACATAGTTCAACCATGTTTCACTTGAAATTCTTTTAATCTGAAAAGTGAGCATTGTAACAGCATGGAAAAAACAGGAACAAAAACAGCAACAATTTTTTACAGTACATTGTGCATTTTGTTAATTCAAATATGTGAATAAACTTTTAACGTCATCCTGGGGTACCAGGGCCTCCTATTCTGAGACTTCTTGTGTTTTTTTATTAATTTTTTTTTTTTTCATTCCAACCGATTGACCCAACATCAGGAAACACATTCAACACTAAACGAAAAAATAGGGGATGGCCTTATCTTTCTTATTTTATTATTAATTATTTTCCCAATTCAATGTGAGGTATGGAACTTAGCACTAAGGCTGTGTATGGATATTCTCACTTTCTCTAAGTGCCAGCTTAAGGCTGTGAATTTAACTCGCATTCAAAAACTCATTAATGATTCATAAAGAAAAAACAAAAGAAATTAACATTTAATGAGTGTCTTTATATTTGATAAGGACAGGCTAAACTTTACGTCCAATCTTTTAGACCAAAATAACCTCATTCTTGGTGCAAGAATCAGTTGATCTATATCAGAAATTTTGAAGCCATTCGAAAAACTCTCAGTCGTGTATTATCAAGTTTAAAAACTGTCAGCTTTACCTCAAGTTTTTAAACCTGACAATACCCTCCTGCTCGTTTTATAAACGGTATGAAGCATAGAATTTGGGTACCTCTAATGTTGCCATCAAGAACTGATTAAAGAAAACTCGGCTGGAAAAGAGGAGTTTGCCTCTTTTATCACCCCCTCTTTATTAAACACTCATATTTGTACTTGTGCTCATGTCAAACAATTCCTAATTAAAAGCAAATAACATGTGAAGAAGGAGGATGCACAAGTTTTAACTTATATTTTAGCGTTAATGCTTACGGTTATGACCACAACTCAATCTTTTGCTTAGCCTCATGGTTATGCTTGTCTTGCTTGTGATATCAGGCCTTGAATGAAAGAGTAGATCTGGTCAAGCAGTGTTCAGAATCACATATGCTAGATGTGAAACTTAAGTGCATCCATAACTCCAATATGAACTGCTGCCGTGTCAACCATTCAAGCAGCAAGATCACTGTGTAAGAAGATTACAATCTTAACACAGAGAAATGAGGTTGTTTTGTTTTCTTTGCATTTTGACTAAGACAATTAACATTCGATTGAATGGATTTAACTTTGAACAAATTATCATATTTATTTGTTACTAGGGACAGGGGAAGAAATTGGCATAGACCAATTCAGCTAACTCAATGTTGTGACCAATTCAAACCCTTTGGGAATAAAACGTTTTCTTTCAGGAATTTCATCATCATCATCATCATCATCATCAAGGCATTCTTTTATTTGTTTGTTTTCCTAAAACTCGATTAAATCCAAACAAGATCCTTCATTTTAAATTGCTCCGCGATTACAAATGTGTTTCGTTTCTACCAAAAACATAGACTCAGTTGCGAGAACAAAATATACATCTAAATTTCAAACTCTATTTTCTTTACTGAGCATGCACTGATTTTGAGCCAAGGATGTAACATATTAGTTCACTTTCTTGTTGTCGAAAATAACGTGTTTGTAAACATGTACCTTTTGGAAATGTAACACCACAGAAGTGGCTTTTTCTTTTGATGGAAACAGACATCGCTAGTCGATGAGAAATGTTTTAGAACTCCATCAAATTTCTCAATTGCTTTTTGTAACACGTGTAGCCTCGGCATATGGATGATGTGGTAATTTCTTCCCACTATGTTAAACACAATTATCTATATCACGAATATTTTTATCATTTTTTTTTACTTGGCCGTGATAGTTATGTTCTTATCCTTTTTGCCATCCTCGACTCCTCTTATAAACAAGAGAGAGGGTTTGTGACTATTTGTTAACGATAACTATTTTAGTATTTTATGTACTGGAAGGTCCCAGTAAACGTTAAGACAGACTGCGGGACAACACAATGCTGCCAGTCTATTTACCGCTCTCCTTCCGCCGTTTCTTTTTTGGTGGTGCTTTGCCCGAACTTTTCCTTTTTTCTTGTACCAAGACCTGTCAAGAAATAGCTTGTCGTGTTGGGAAGTGTATGAGTCTTATAACTTGTGCAGTCTCTTAATCGTCATCTGATACAAATGCGGGTCTCATTCACGAAATTCAAAATTGTTCAAGACTGACATGATAATCATTGAGCTGCTCTATAAAATGCCTCATTCGGGAGTAAATTCCGGTCGGTTGAAGCTGGGAAATCACGTCATCAAATCAAGTTTAGCCGTGTCCTTATCAGACATAAAGATACTCATTAAGGTGGCTCCGTAATTAATACAAGAGCATTTAGCTGTGACAAATTTTCCGTCATAACTTTTTCGATTTTAACGCGATGGCTGCGAAACTTTGCAAAGAACAACAGATATCATTCGGCAATAATACGGAATATTCCGATTTCATTGATGGTAAATATTTCTTGAGAAATTAGCGCTTAAAAGGACCCTAATGTTCAAAGAAAATCGCGTCTAGTAAAAAATTTTGCTGATATTTTTTACTGAAATTTTTGGTATCGGCTTTAATTGATATAATAAATATGCCAGAGGAATATCAGAAAAATCGTTGGAGCAGAAGTCCGTAACTAAAAGTCGCTCAAAATTCAGCTGTGAAATTGTTTTGGAATTTCAAAAATAAATTGCTATCAGGAAGAAGGAGACACCAGTTTGAATTTTCGGGACAAGTAAATTCAATGTTTGCTAATTCTTAAAACAAAAGTCGATTGCCTATCGTGCTATTCTTTAAAAGGTACTTTTCAGTTTTAGAAGCACTATAAATTGCTCCAAACCTTGCTCTGAGGTCGAGTGACTTGTTCCTCGACATTTTTAAAATATCCCTTGGCAGTTTTGGCTCAAACTCCTGCTGCATACATTTTGATGTATTGCAATGCATCCTCAACGGCTTTTCCTGCTGTACGCTGTTTGCAATTCAGGAAAAAGGTATTACGATTGTAAGCTACCTCGTATCAGAGCTCAGATAGAACTGTCCAGCACCTTTGTTTATGACCAGAAAATGAGCACGAGCGGCAGTTCTGCGAGGAATTCGCACCTCACCCAGGTGAAAATGAGAGATTATTTGGACAGGCGGGTTACCTCACCTACCTCAGGGGTCCCCTACCTCCATGTAAACAGGCCCTAACTCAATATTAGTAAAGATGACAAATTAGAACGTGATTTATTAAAAGCTAACAGAGATATAGCTCCGCAAAGTCGCCGAATTTTACAGACGTTTGTTTGGTGGGAAGCAAGTTCGTGCCCCAGCATACAACATACAAATTTCCTGAAGATTTCGGGACTTTTTGCAGCATAATCACGCCTTTGACGTATAACCTGTAAACTTGGCAAGTTTGCTAATTTTAAGGCGCTCTTTCCAGCAGTGTTAATTGATATTCGCTAATTGTTCTTTAACAAAACTTGGCAAAAAATTGTGGAAGGCTGTATAGTCTATACCCCTCCCTTCTTACCTCCCCTTCTTTCAACGCCTATACCATATCCCACACAGGGGCATTTGGTTCAACTACATCCAGTCATTACAAGACATCTTAGGTGATAAATATTTAACCAATTGCATACCGGTATAAAGAAGAGAAGTGCGACTAAGGTTACCATGGTAACAAAATTTGTTGATCTCAAGAATCTCTCTTGATAGAGACGGCCATTTGCATTGTTGAAACATAGAAAAAAAGTATGGGCTACAGTTTTGGTCCTGAGTATAATCATGCACAGGAAAATCATACATGTTCAATTTTTTTGTCTTTTTTTGCCATATTTAAAGGACCTTGCTTTGTTGAGATCCAGACATTTTGCTACCATGGCAACGTGACGTAACGACTTCTGAACACAAAATGATCGCGCTTACATACTCTCATGCTTACCCCTCAGCCAATCAGCGCGCGTGTAGTATCGGCTTAGTTGTTTTATAACGTTCGATGCAATGTCCCCGTTGAATTGCGGCTTTTTTACTAGGTAACAGTTTTAAGTCCAGCGCCACGTCGCATTTTAAACAGCTTTATCATAAACGGGCCATCTAGTTGTTCAAACACATTGTTTTGGTATCAGTTCCACTTCCTTATCCCTTTTGGTCCCAAGGGTGACCAACATCAATTTTCTCCTAACAAAATCAGCAGCTCATCGAGATTGAAGGTTATGAGAATTACTAACTTGATTACCAAAGGAAGAACACTTTGATCTTAAACCAAATTCTCTCAAGTATTCTTAAAAGAAATGTATGGAGATCAGTCTGGAGAATTTGTATGTGGATCTTGGGGCTTAAAGGGTTATTTAGCGGAAACGGACATGTGCCACTAAACAGGGTATTGTTTGGGGGGTCTTGACTTGAGTTTTGAATAGGGTGTGCAAATTCATTTTGTAGAGTCTTTTGTAGGGATGTCGTTTGAAAGTCATCATTCGGTGAGAACACATTCATTAAACTTAGCAACCTGTAGCTACACTCATACCGGTATACTACGATTGTTTAGGGACTAAAATTAAGACACGCTGTAGTTGTTGAGTTAAATTAGTGTTATGGTCACCTGACCATGTCCAGCTGCATTGTAGCAACATTCATTTTGCTGATTCTTTCCAGCGTTGTAGGATCCTCCCCCTCCTCCACAGGCTTCCTGTAAACCTTTCCCGCTACCACCCCCAGAGTAGCCTCCGCCACCACCACCACCACCTCCGCTTCCATAAGCACCACCACCTCCTCCAAATCCCCCAACAACATTTTTTAACCAAGATCTTCCACCAATTCCTCCCTGAATAAACCCTCCACCTCCTTCTCCACCAGTCCCAATGGAACCTCCAAACTGCGTTGAACTTCGTCCACTGGTGTAGAACCCACCGCCGCCACCGCCTAAAATAAAGAAATATAGAAGGTTTACAAATTCCCTTTTCTTTCCGATTCTCAGTAGTTTAAAAGACGGAGAGCACTATTCACCGTACTGTAAGTGTCCTTTACCAGAAAAATATTCAAAAAGGGGTGGCGAACTTCTTGCCGCTGGGGACGCGAGGAGCGAGGAGAGACGGCTGTTTCGCGGGTTAATGATTGATTGGCAATATTTTTTGCTGCGATGCCTAGAACAGGATGAAATTTTTCCGAAACGTTAATATCACGGACTAAAAAAAGTCCAGTTGAAGAAAATTCGGCGAGCTGAATGGCTTACTCAAGTTCACGGCCTTAAATAACTTTCACACCATCTAAAAATATAGAAAAGAGTGTAGAGAGTGAGATGTGATTTACTGTGTCAAAAGGCGTTGATAAGACAAGAAGTAAACAAGGTGTGATTGACCTTTATCGGGCTAACTTCAAAAGTGTAAGTTATTTCAAGAATAGCCTCTTTAGTGGAGTATCCTCCTGAATCGAGAACCTTCATGGCCTGGTTCCAGCTTATTTACTTAATGAATTTAGCGACGCGCGTGATTTCCATTCATATAACACGCGCCATAGAGATTTGCTCCGTCTGCGGCTAGCTTGGACAACTAAGTACCAGGGCTCCTTCAGGTTCAGCGGAGCCAAGATCTGGAACACGCTTCCTCTGGCCCTGAGGGGCGAGCATGATTTAAATAAGTTTGGGTTTGGCACTTAAGATCCAAGCCAAATTGAGCCTCCAATACTTTCGGTATACTTAGTTGTTCCAATTTTTTTTTTATCTGTGATTGTTTTTTGTGTTTTCTTTTAGTTTTCATCAGGGCCCCATTCAAACCAGCCTCACTGAACTGGGCACCCCTGAATAAATATTATTCAAAATAAATAAATAAATAAAATCGAAACTGATGGTCATAAGATTAGTGCTTTTCTAACAAGGAATATATCTGATTGTAGACTAGCCGCTCAATACTTTAATTACTGAACTCTGAGAGAGTTTTTATAGGCTGATAATTACTGGGGTCTGTACCATCTTCACTCTTATACACTTTAATTCTCTCACCTAAATTTGTACTCTGGCCAACCTGTGCTCCCTGACCACCACTGCCTCCTGCCAATGACAGGTGCCCAGTTCTCCCTGTTGTCGCCGTCGTTGCATCACATCCAGTATATCTTGTGTTGGAATAATTCACGCCTCCTCCTCCACCAGCCACTATCAATGGCGTGTTGCTTCCATTCACCACAAACGTACCTCCACCGCCTCCAGCAGAATAAGTTACATTGTTAATTCCACCCTCTTGACCCACGAGTATTTGAATTGTTTCGCCTTGAGATAAGTTAAAAGTCCCCTCCATTCTAGCACCTCTTCCACGAAATATTCCCCCGCTACTTCTCGTGTCGTACCCCCCAGCAGCTCCTATTGCCTCTATTCTGTAGTCGCCTGTGTACGGCACGGTCCAACGTTGAATACCGCTGTGCAACGTAACTTGACCGTCATGATCCTGTCCCCTGTAGTAACTACCAAGAGAAGTTGGGTGAAGTCTCCCACTCGCGCCGAGGTTTGTGAAGACAGCTCGGAATGTTACTGAATAGTTTTGAAAGTAATCAATAATAATAACTTAATAATAATAATAATAATAATAATAATAATAACTTATCTGACTTTTAATGACTAATCAATAAAGAAGGTCTCTTAAAAGCAACATAGCAAAGCGACAACAATTTTTATGGGTCTACACGTTTATCGACCATACAAATGACGTCAAAACGTTCAAGTGGAACCACGAGCCGCGGCCGAGTGGTCTCACTACAAAGTTTTGACGTCCATTTCCGTTGAAGTTTCTCGGAAATCGCGCGTGGCGGAAAGAGAAAACAAATGGCGCCACCATCACATCATTTTCATGGTTTGTTCTCTTATCGAACATAGCTCTCAACCAATCAGCGCACGAGAATCCGCTCAGTTATTGTAAAAACACATATACTTAGTTCGATAAAGGCAACATTGGCAATGTGTCATTGACAATTGGGCGTTAGGGATTTAAGCGTATGGAACTCACTAAAATGATTTTCTTGCGGTGACCTCCAAACAATTCCAAGTGCTCAATTTCCAATGCCCAAAGTAACCTTTATTTATGAATGGCCATACCCGATGCTTATATTTTTCAAAGGCCCTTTTTGAGAGGCTTATTTTTGGAGGGGCTTATATTCGGAGGGGCTTATCTATGGAGGGAAATTTGCGTTTCAAAATCGATTTGGCTAGCCTTATAGTTGGAAGGAAATTTACCTTTTTTGCTTTGTTTTACTTTGTATATGAGGGCAATTTCCAAGTACAAGCCCCTGGGGAGCTTATGTTTGGAGGGGCGATTTTGACTAAGGGTTTTTTGCGTTACAAGTTTGGGGGGCTTATGCATGGAGGGGCTTATTTTCGGAATTTTACGGTAACTATAGCCCACCCCGCCCCATAGCGGTCCCTGCTTTTTTAAGCAAGTGCATGTGTGCGTGCTATATGATTAATACTAGCATACCGAAGGCCTGGGCGGAATGGGTTTTTGTTTTACTGAATGGGCAGCAAGACATTAAGTTTTAAGCAAAAGGGGAAAAGTAGCATGTTTTTAAAATATTCTTACAGGGAATGTTATTACTCACACGAAAACGTTTGTTTTTTTCTTACCGGCAAGTACACATTTTGTACCATTTCCTGTATATTTAGCTTTGCATGCACAAGAATACGATCCTTGGGCATTTGTACACACAGCGTTCACATCACAGCAGTGAGCGTTGTTAGAACACTCGTCTATATCTAAAATTGTGCAAAAACGCATGTTAGGGTATATCTTTTAACATAAAAGAAATAAGTTTCCCTGGCAGAGCCAAAGTCGACTCTTTCATTAGTTTTTGACTAAGTTTTAAATGAACTCAGTTTTTTTTTTTCGTTGTTGCGTGGTTTTATTCGTGAAAGAGTGGCTCTAGACAGGAAATCCCTGTGAATTAACTCAGTGTGTCAGTTACCATCCTCGCCTTCCACCCCTTGGTTTTCTTTCCGTCCCTACCCATAGGACAAAAGACATTAAATTTGAAATCAGTATGCAGTTAAGGTGGCTCAACCATGTCAGTTTTGATGGGTACAACTTCCATCTGGCTCTAAATTAATTGCATTTTTTTCTGATCGTAGAGTTCAGAGTGATATCTTTAAGGTGTGTCTGTGAGATGTCGGTATCTGCATAGTCAGAAAACGAATAAAGCTCCACGGCTGTTGTTTTCTAAGGCCGTTAATAATTCAAACTCTTTAAGTGGAAGAACATCTTTAGACAAGAAGTTTCTATAACTTTACTACATGATAGACTTTTTCCTAGTTTGACGGCGTAAGTTATAGGTAGAACACCTTCACGCAAAACATCATTCCGAGTTTGTTTGCCATACGTTTTCAGCTGAACTCATCCCCGTTTTTTGCGAGGGAGAGACCTCTTTCTTGATTGGGCTGTGCCTCACTGCCACCCAGTATTAAAATGGTGTTCTTTTGTGGTTTATTAGTGTCCCAGCTAAATATATTGATGCATAGATCAAGTCTAGTACTACTTCTAATACTTCTGTTCTGATTTTAACCGGCATTTTTCATTATTTCCTTACCATGACATGTTTTTCCGTCCCCTGAATATCCAGCTTTACATGAACATTTGTGTGAGCCCGCGGTATTATAACAAACAGCGTTGACGTCACAAGTATGAGAGTTAGAAGTACACTCATCTAAGTCTAGAACCAGACAATCAAATGAAACAAAGAATGCTGAATAGTTTTATCACATTTCATCACCTCTTCAGGAAAAACGGCGCCCGCATGTTATCAAGTAATTGGCTCCTGGTTAAGGCTGACGTTATTCCAGAGCGGTGTTTTCTATTGAAAACTAGTAAATACGGTAACCGTTATAACTAGACGCGAGAATGTTGTTGTCACCCTAAGTCTCTGTGGCATATGTTTTTAGCTAAAATGTCAACCAACCGACCGCCCTCCCTCCCCCACACACCCTCTTACCCCGGCGCTTTTTCCAAGGGAAAAAGCCCATTTTTCGATTGGGCTGTGTCGCAGGCAACCCAATCAAATATCATTTTGTATTCTTTTGTAGTTTACTGGTATCCCCGAATAGCTTTTTAAAAGCTAACTACCCTAACGCTTAAATCGACTCAGTACTTCCTGTGCTACTAGTTTTGCTTTACCATAACATGTTGTTCCATCCCCCGTATATCCAAGTTTTACACAAGCAGGTGTGTGAGCCCGCAGTATTTTGACAAACAGCATTGACGTCACAAGTATGAGAGTTGGTAGGACACTCACCTAAGTATAAACCAAACAATCAATGAAACGAAGAATAAATACAGTCCAACCCGACCACCTCTCTAAACGGCCACTCATTTATTTTGTCCCTTGGACAAAAAAATCCATACATTGACTCTTGTTTAAAACCTCTCTACAACGACCACTTTCTTCTGTCCCCAAGGTGGCCTTTGTAGAGAGGTTTAACTGTAGTTTTTTTTTTTTTATTTGTTTTTTATCACAGTGCCAACACCTCTTTTCAACAAAAACGTTGCATGCATCTGTTAAGGCTAACTTACTGCGCTTTTCACAAACATGCAAATTCTGAAGTTCAAAAGCCAACTGACGATTGCGTTTTTCGCCGCCGTCAATCATCTTAACGGACCTCTTAGGAAACAAAACTTTAGTTTAACGGGTTCAAAAGGTCATGGTTTGTGATTTGTGATTGGTGGATTTGGATCCTTTTTGTGTGTTTCTGTGTTTCAAGGTTCGTTTCTTGTGATCGTAATTATGATTGACAGCAGCGAAAAACGCAGTTATGAAGGCGTCTTTTGACCTTTAGAGTTCGCATGTTTGCGAAAAGCGCAGTAAGGTCTTTTTGTTCAAGTGATTTTTTTTTCTTATTTTGAGTAGACGTAATTCGAGGAGATGAAGATGAACTGTTTGAACTTCGTGAGAGTTGGTGAGAGTTGGTGAAGTAAAAGTTCCGAAAGGCAGTGAAACCTTTTTTTTAACAGTTTTCTACTCAACAAATGGTTATACGGCCCGAGATCCAACCGCTTACCCTTTTTACATACCATTTTTCACTAAAAAGGTACCCTTTTCGTATACCTTCGACTGACAAATGGTACTCCTTTCAAATACCTTGTTTAGAACTTTGCATCCCTTTTAACTTCTGTAAATGCACTGTCTTTTAAAAAAATCTCTAAAATAGAACGTTTTGTCGACTTTTTAAAGCCATACAATTCATCTGTTCTTTTGGGCCTTTTTACAGACCCAAATGACAGATTTCCCTACCCTTTTATATACCGTACCTCAACTGGTCAAATCCCAAACCCTTTCATATACAGCACCTGAAGCCTGCGAACGGTACCCCTTTCGGGGGAAGCCTCCCCGTATAGGCCATCAAAGGGAGTACACCCCTCGGGGTTTGAACAGGTTTTTACATTTTCAGAAATTCAGATATTTACCGCATTTGCCTGAAATAGCGTGACCTTAGCCCATTTAAATCCAGTAGAGCGAAGCACAGAAATAAATAAGACAAAGCAGTTTGTTTCCTGTTTCTTTACTCATGGTCACACACTTAAATACCTTTTTTTCGCATGTTTTAAACACTAGAAAAACACAAAAACTGTAACAAATAAATCCCATATAGTGATTTCGTTTTTGTTCTGTCGTGGGGGGGGGGGGATTTTTGACATCTCCAGATCATCCAGTCATCTCAACTCCGGTGTACCTCCCCCCCCAACCCTGAGATCACCACTGGGTTAAATTGATTCTTCTTCCTTAGTCTCTCACAGTAAATCTCGATTTGTTTTCGGTAGAGAGCGCTAGTTTTAACTTGCGAAGTGGAAATTTTAATTAACATTGTTACTGCTTGTTGAGCCTACCCAACCGTTAAATGCCTCTGCATGATTATAATTTTTGTGAGTAAAGAAGTCAACACCCGTTATTGTTTTTTGGCGTGGTTAGAGAAAGATTAAAATTCTAATTTGTATGGTAGCTACAATGTATTTTTTTGTTTAGTAATAGCGCAGTCGAATGGCGTATACCACAACTACCGGACGAATTCTATAGCTTGCGATGAGGCGATTTTTTCGTTGAAGCGAAAAAGCCGGGGGTTAAGGTTAAATTTATCGTTTAAAAACAAAAGCTACAACCATTTTCATCAGGAGAGATGTGCTCCGTCCACATTTCACGCGCGTTTAAACAGCCTAATATGCATGTTAATGACGTCTTGTACCAAATCAATTGCATTTGCCTCTCTCAAGAATAAGTAGCCCTAGTCAAAATTCTCTACAAAAACCAAATTCCGTCGAGATAAGTATCGAGAAACATCCAAGGAGAACCATGGAGCAACCTTAGGGGTCATGATAAAACGCTGATCCGTATAGGATTGAGTCCACGGGGTCAAAAATATAAAAATTATCCACCTTGTATCCATGCTTATCGGTCAGGCTCAGGTCAGGTTAACTGATTGGTAAACAAAAATGACGGTTACTCATGTAATTTGTTGTTTATCTCAGTAATTTTCCATCAAAGTAATCGATATTGGCTAGGTTTTGTTTATCTGGTTAAAGAAAACTATCTCGGCATTGGGTGCATGCATGCCTAATGAAATCGAAGGCCGGTGATTTTCGGCGAGAAAACAGCTTGTAAATCCGTTTACCTTGTGTTGTTGTTTCCTGCTTCGGAGCGGCTGAACCTTCTCCATCCGCTATCTTCATTATGACCAAAATCAAAGCGGCAACAGCGATCAAGAACGTTACCATAATTACAGTCAACATGAAGAGCCTCATTCGCCGGGCTCTTAAGATTTCAGCTCTCAGAGCCTTCTGCAGCTTCTCAAACTCTGTTGTTGCGAGCTGCCCCTTCGTGCTTCCTTTGTAACTATACCCGTTACTAGCTGTTTGCACCTGAACATTTGTCGCTGCCTCTCCGACAATAATGTCATCGTATGCTTCTTCAACGTTGCCAGTTTGAGTGGCTCCTAGCTCTAAATAATACTCTTCTGCATTTACAGCTGGCGTCATATACATCTTGGAACGATGATCTTGTAACTGTTACTTCCCTTTCCCTTAGCTAGCTGCGCTTGTTTCGAAAGTCGACTATTATGTATTGTACAGAATGCACTCCCCCATGCCTTGAGGCGGAGTTAGCAAACTACAACTGAAATTAGTCAACCGATTGTCACACCAACAACCGTACGAGCGCTTGTGTATCATTTGTGACGTCATTGTTTTTTAACCTCAGAGGATGAGTTCGACTTCCGTTAAAAACTAAGGCGTATGAAAAGCAAATCATCCAAAACGTATACGTAGCCAAATGAAGTGACACTGTCTGAGTGTCCAGAGTTAAGAAAATATCAACAGTGTGCCGGACTGCGTGAAATTTGTTGACTTTTCTTGCGTCACGAATAATTTCTAAAATTTTTTCTCGGTCACGGAAAAATCAAGTAATTCACGTTTCACGGGAAATTGAGAAATAAATTCAAGTATTAATGTTTTCTATTGACTAACCTGTTTGCGGTCCAAAGGCAACTCCTTATAATTACCTTGAAATTTCACTCAATCAGTTTTAGGGTAGCGTAAAATTCCGTGTATGAGCCCCTCCAAATATAAGCGCCCCAAAATGTTAACGCCAAAAACCCTCCGTGAAATCGCCCCTCCGAATATAAGCCCCCTGGGGGGGCTTGTACTTGGAATTTGCCCTCGAATACAAAGTAAAACAAAGCAAAATTGGTAAATTTCCTTCCCACTACAAGCTAGCCCAATCGATTTTGAAACGCAAATTTCCCTCCGTACTTAAGCCCCTCCGAATATAAGCCCCTCCAAAATAAGACCCTCAAAAAAGGGCCTTTGAAAAATATAAGCCCCGGGGCTTATTTTCGGAATTTTACGGTTTTGGTAATGCTTCTAATGAACCAGATACCGTAAGGCAGATTTACACCTTGCAATTTGTCTGCCGAAGTAACCGCCAGTTTACTATAGGAATTAATAATTGAGTCAAGCTCTTTGCCTAAAGAAATTCTTCGACAATAAAATCGGCATAAATGATAATAAACATCGGTTCACGCATAATTCCAGCCCCACTGTCACGATCGAGCGCTTAAGGAAAAGTGTCTTTGGATGAGCTATTGCGAATCACAAATAAATAAGTCCACGACATGCGCTATGCGACGCGAGGAAAGTTACGTCATTATTCCGTGTTATCACAAGCGTTCTGCTCGTTTGGAAAATAATTTATTGCCTTAATTCAAGAATTGGAATTGGAGATCAATCGAACAAATATTTCAGATTACTCTTTGTATTTCCAGTATTACCGAATACGGTCCGGGAAGCACCCAATGTGTGACTCCGATAGAACTCTGGTCCCTTTTCCACTTGAATTCTTCTCTCTTCTCCCTTCCTCTCTTTCTAGCAGGCTGCAGGGAATTTGTTGTTCAAAAGTTGGATAGCGCTATCCAACGGATAAATCACTACCCATCGCATAAGTAGTAGGGAAACCGATTAAGCTATCCACTGGATAGTGATTTATCCGGTGGATAGCGCTATCCAACGTTTGAACCACCGGGGGCAGTTTTCTTTGTTTACAAGTTGAAACTGCAGGATGTATTTAAAAAACTAAAATGCTATTACATTCCCTTTGTTGCATAAAGAAGAACTTGGCACGCCGTGTATCCTTGTATTAAGAAAGTGGGAACGCTGGTCCCTTTTCTCTCAATCCCCCCCCCCCCTCCCTTTTCCTTTCCTCCCCAACGCTTTTCGACGTCGGGTACGCAGGCTACAGGCAGATGAACTAGACAAGTCTTTTCTTTGTCCCTGTTATTCTTTGTATTTTATTAACCTTTTTAATTGACACCTTTACATTCTAATATAATGCTGTTACATTTGTTGTATGAAGCGCGCAGAACTCAGCACGATAATCCTTGTATTAAGAAAATCGGACACTAAAGTTTGACCCCCCTTCTTCGACACCATGCTGAACCCTAGCTTACCCTGAGTAGCTAGCCGTTTTGTTCGTCGAACGCGCAAATGAGCGCCAAAGCAGCGAGGAAAATGGGCAGAAACTACACTCGTTCGCTTTGAGCACGTTTTCGCTGCTACTCTGCTAATTTGACAAGCTCTCTCGCAAGCGAACCGCCAGCTACGCAGGCTGAAAATATTCAGGTTTAATTAACCTGGTGTTTTTAGGAACTTACTTATTATACGACCCTTCATTCAATCGCTACCGCAGTAGCGGTTGCACGAGTTAGCTGGGGTGCCATTGAGATAGTAAACATACTATTCACCGCAATTTCTAACTTGAATATATTTGAAGGAGAAACAGCACCGATTACTAACGTGGAAACAGGCCATCCTGGTGACCCGTCCATCTGCCACTGAGGGAAGCTCTCCTTTCATCCAGCCGTTCCCACTACTGTTGCAGCTCCAGTGTGGTGGGCATGTAGTTGCCATCAGTATTCCTGCCTCGCCTTGAAACCGAAACCACCCAGGAACAATATCTGCATCACATTCGACGCCCCTTTTACCATAATTTACGTTTCGGTCAGCACTCGTCAAGTTTTTGTAATTTTGACATTCTAAAAAAAAAAATAAACGGAAAAGCCGTAAAACAAAGAGGATTTGAAAAACTGAGAAATGACAACGCCCTAGCTTTCTGTGGTAATATACCTGCGTTTCGACTGCAAGTGACACAACTACCTGTCGCCATCATATCCTCCTCATGATTGCCAGCACAGCGAATCATACAATTACCAGTACGAGATCACTGTGAACAGTTACTATGATCGCCCCATGTCAGGAAGTCTAGGGCAGTCCTGGATTCTGGAGGCCACGCTGTAGATTCTGGATCATTTGTCGGATTACTGATTCCCAGCTAAAAGTTGCTGATTCCGGATTCCACCAGCAAAAAATTCTGGGATTCCGGAATCCGGTACCCTTTTAAGCTAGAAACTGAATGGAGTAGTACAGGAGCTGCTCGTAAGGTCTCTCCTGACTGGTCGCAGAAAACAATGACATGTCATTCTTTCAATTGTTTTTGTATTGTTTGGGGTCAAGGTTAGGTACTATTGGTGACTTCTCGTCAGAGCAGCTGCTTCATCCCCACTGAATGAATTGACTTATTTTGCTCGTTTTTTTGCCAATGCCTAGTATTAAAATTTTGAGTAACTGTTAGGTGGGGCGTCTATCAGACAAGGGGCGTTTATAAGAGTGGGCCGTCAATTAGATTATGTACGGTAGACACGATAAGTTCTTTTTACTAGTTCATTAACCTTACCATCGTTTAAGCCATGTACTTGCAGGTTCTTTAGTTCTGA